AAACAATATTCCATGCCAGAGGAACCCAGAAATAAGCAGGGATAGCTATTCTGTTTGTAGACAATGTGAACTTCAAACCTAAAAGGATTAAAAGAGATAAAGAAGGTTACTGCATAGTTGTTAATGGAAAACTTCAAGAAGAAAAGCTAACAATTATAAATATATATGCACCAAACACAGGAGCACCTAAATATAAAGACAAATACTAATGCACATGAAAAACCCAATACACAAGAACACAGTTGCAATAGGAGATCTTAATACCCCGCTGTCACAAAGATATAGATCAACTAGACAAAAAAAATCAGCAACAAAATAATAGAACTGAATCATACCCGTGAGCAAATGGACTGTGTAAATGTCTACAGAGTGTTCCACCCAACCGCATCAGAATATACATTCTTCTCAGCTGCACATGGGACATTCTCCAAAATAGACCATATATTAACCCATAAAGCATTCTTAACTAAATGCAAAGGGAATGAAATTATCCCATGCATATTATCTGATCATAGCGTATTGAAATTGGAAAATAATTGCAAAATTAATTGCAAAACATATAAATTAAATAACAACCTTCTGAACAACCAGTGGGCTAAAAGAAAATTTGAAGAAGAAATAAAGCAATATTTGCAATTCAATGAAAATGCAGATACAACATACTGTAACCTGTGGGACAAATGAAAGTGGTCCTAAGAGGGAAATATATAGCAATAGGTAGTCACATCAGGAAGATAGAATAAGCACAAATAAATAACCCGATGCTACATCTCCAGGTTCTAGAAAAGGAAGAGCAGTTCAAACCTAAAGCTCATAGAAAAGAGGAAATTTTAAAGATCAGACCAGAAATTAATGCCATTAAAACTAAAAAATCCAAAGAATTAACAAATCAAAGAATTTTTTAAGAGAATTAACAAAATTGATAAACCTCTAACCAACCCTATAAAGGAAAAAAAAAGAAAAAACTCAAATTCACACAATAAGGACTGAAAAGTGGGAAAACACTACAGATCCTATGGAAATTCAAAAGATCAAGAATACCTACTTTGAACATCTCTACCAGCATAGGGTAGAAAACACAGTGGAGATGGACAGATTTCTAGGAACATATGAATCATCAAAGCTCAATCAACAATATATAGCAATTTTGAATAACCCAATATCAGCTAGTGAAATTGAAAATGTGATTAAAAATTACAAATGAAGAAAATCCCTGGTCCTAATGGATTCACAACTGAATTCTACAAAAAAAATTTAGAGAAGATTTGAGGCCAGTACTCGTTAAAATCTCCAATGAAATTGAAAAAGAAGAAATCCCATGTAACTCATTTTGGAGGCAAGTATGCTGAATAAAAAATCATAGATAGACCCAATCAAAAAAGAGAACTATAGGGCAATATCACTAGTGAACATTGAAGCAAAGATTCTTAATACAACAATGGCAAATAGAATGCAGGAAATCAAGAAGATTTTACTCCACAACCAAGTGGGATTTATTCCAGGAAAGCAGGGATGGTTTAACATACAAAAATCAGTAAATGTAATACACATCAATGGAGATAAAAACTAATATCACAAGATCATTTCAATAGATGCAGAAAACACTTTTGATAAAGTCCAACACTTGCTCATGCTAAAACCCCGGAAAAACTCAGAATAGATGGTATCTACCTCAATTTCATAAAGGCAAGGTATGATCAATCAACAGCTAATATTATAAATTGTCTAACACTGAAAGCCTTTAAACTAAAATGAGGAACAAGACAAGGATGTCCACTATCACCACTCCTATTCAATTTAGTTCTCGAAAATTAGCCAGGGCAATCAAACAAGAGGAAGAAATAAAAGGAATAAAGATAGGAAAGGAAAAAAGTATAATTATCAATATTTGCAGATGACATGATACTTTACATAGAAGACCCAAAATACTCCATAAAAAGACTGCTTGAGGTAATAAACAAATTCAGAAGCATAGTAAGATAGAACGTCAACACTCAGAAATCAATAGCATTCCTGTACACAAACAGAAAACTCACTGAGAGAGAAATTATGGAAATATTGCCTTTCACAATATCATCTAAAAAATGAAATATCCAGAAATCAACCTAACCAAGAATGTAAAAGACTATTTGCTGAAAATTATACTACTCTAAAAGTAGAAACTGCAGAGGATATTAGAAAATGGAAAGATATTCCTTGCTCTTGGTTAGGAAGAGCCATTTTGAAAATGTCAATACTCTCAAAACTGTTATACAGATTTAATACAATCAATCAAAATACCATTGCAATATCTTAAAGATCCAGAGAATACACTCAAAAAGTTCATTTGGAAACAGAATAAACCTAGAATAGCAAAGGCAATTCTGGGCAACAAAGGAGGCAACTCAATTCCTGACTGAAACTATAGTACAAAGCCACAGTGATAAAATCAGCATGGTATTGGCAAAGAAATAGACCTGAGAATCAATGGAGATAAAAGATTAGATAAAAGATTAGAGAATTTTTTTTCCTTTGTAAGATTGGCTAGAGGTTTATCAATTTTGTTAATTCTCTAAAATCAATGGAGATAAAAGATTAGATAAAAGATTAGAAGATACAAACACAACTACAAAGATACTCAGCCACCTAATATTTGACAATGCACTAAACATGTTCATTGAAAATAGGATAACCTCTTTAATAAATGGTGTTGGATATGTTGGCTGTCCACATGCTGAAGACTGAAACTAGACCCATGCCTATTACTATGCATTAAAGTAAAAATGAATCAAATATCTAAGTATTAAAACAGAAACACTAAATCTTTTGGAAGACAACACTGGTAGAAAACTTGAGGATTTAGGCATAGGTGGAGAGTTCATGAACAAAACGCAAACCACACAGGAAACACTTCAAAGAATTGACAACTGGGATCACATCTTATTAAATGTTTTTGCACTTCAAAAGAAATCACCAACAAAGTGAAAAGAAACCCCACAGAATGACAATCCCTCAGACAAAAGACTTATACCCAGAGTCCATAAAGCATTGAAAAATATAACCTCCTGAAATTCAGACACTTTTCAAAATGGACATCTAAGATGAACACATATTTCACATATGAAGATATACAAATGTCAAATAAATACATGAAGAAATGCTCACCCTCTTGGTCATTCAATAAATGCAAATTAAAACAGCATTGAGATATCATCTCACTCTGGAAAGAATAGCTGCTATCATGATAACAACTGATAACAAATGTTGGTGAGGCTGTGGGGGAAAAGGAACATTTGTCCACTGCTGATGGGAGTGTAGGCTGGTGCAGCCACTATGGAATCAATATGGAGATTTCTCAGAAGACTAGGGTTGGAAGTTCCATTCAATTCAGCTGTTCCCCTACTGGGTATTTTCCCAGAAAAACTGAAAATGTCATGTCACAGCGATGTATGTGCACCCATGTGTATAGCAGCACAATTGTAATAGCTAAATCTTGGAAACAACCAAACAGCCTACCAATTGTGGAGTGGATGAAAAGATGTGGTACTTTTATACAATGGAATATTACTTAGTTATAAAAAGGATGATCTTTAGGCCTTCATAGATAAATGGAGGCAACTTGAGAATATCCTCGTAAGTAAAACAAAAAGTCTCACAGTGGTACATATCACATTGTCTCTCTAGTGTAAAACAGTATAAACACTGAAAGAGTAATAAGATCCTAAGTACATAAATACTGTAAAAATGAAAGGGAAGGAAACTGTTCTAAAATATATAACTATATGGTCATTCAAGTATGTAAGATAAATGACCATATTACTAAGTTCCCATTACAGCATTAAAAAGAATGGACTGTAACTGTCAGTGTTTGAGTGTCCACATTTTTGCTGTGATTTTTAACTAGAACAACTATTTCTAAGAGGACAACATGTAACTTATCAACTAGTAATTTTTTAATGTTAATATTTTTGTTTGAAATTCTGTATTACTTCTACTGTTTCTTCTGTTTTGCCTTGTTTTTTGTTCTTTTTGTGTTTAAATAAAAATATTCATCATGCGTATTATATATGTATACATTAAAATTAAACACATACAATATCTATTCAAAATCAATCTTAGACTATCACAAAGATAGTAAAATTATTATGATCACTGATTTTCATTTTAGTCACCTTATTAAATTTCATGTATATGATAATAGTAAAATAAAACGGGCAGACTACATCACTCTGTGAGTGGGCGAAAAGCTCCCTCACATTAGACAAACTCAAGGTCTGGTTCATGGCTCATCAAAATGGTGCATTCACAGCATTCAGGTGAACCTGAAGGGAATTCTTCCTAAGCTGTTACATAGCCAAGTAGATAAAAGAAACATGCATTTGAAAAATAACTAACATTCTCTGCCAGTTTGCAAATTTTTAAAACTGCATTCAAGTGTTCCACCGGATCTTCATATATTTTGAAATAAATAATACATGGAGGTGCTAAAGAATATGTGGGAAGTTTTAATGTTTAGTGCAACAACTTCTTCTACAATTAATGTTGTTATAATTTATTTAGGAGCTATAAGTCTGAAAACATGTAGCTAAAATATTCCAGATATTGTACAGTCTTTCCCTATGCACAGGGTCACACTCAATGAGTTGGTATGTTCTTAATATACATCAACAATTTTTGTGAATGAAAACCCGTGTCAATTAAGCAAACCCTACAGGAGTTTTTCACTTTAAATGAAACTGTAATTTTTAAATGTTTGAAAAATTCATGGTTTCTTTAAAATCAAAACATTATCTACACTTACAGGTTGAAAGATTAAATTTAATAAATACTGAAATGGACTCAATGTCCTTCATCCTTAGGCAAAAATATTCACATTTTCAAACTTCCCCAGACTTCTACACACACACACACACACACACACACACACACACACTCACTCACAAACTTTTTTCCAGAAGTAACTTTTGGAATTTCAACACAATGTACAATAATTTGTAAAATATAAAGATACATTTCCTCACCCATATCTGACATCTCAGGCACGGTGACGATGTACGGCCCGTCTGTGAATTTGGGAGCATTGTCGTTGATGTCTTGCACTTTGATGATGAACTCGGATTCGGGTTCCAGAGGCTTGTTGGTCCGTCTGTCAATGGCCTGGGCGTGCAGCACGTAGTGAGTCTTCTGCTCTCTGTCGAGGCTCTTGGTTGAGTGGATGTCCCCTGTGGTGTCGTCAATGATAAATATAGTCCCCGCACCTTCTCCAGTAAGAATGTACTTGACAGATCCATCCCCTTTGTCTGAATTGGAGTGCAGCTGTAAAATACACAAGGAACAATTTCTTACGCAGCTGTACTCCAACCTCACATCACATGTCCTGGACATTATCTCGAATCAAATGGCTTTTACTCTCTGCTGTGTTTGGCATAATTATACCGTCATTTTTGAAAACTTTTTTATTAATACATGACTGTATATATTTTCATCAGGATTTGTCTGAGAGTCAATAATGAATATAAGAATTACTGATAAGCTATATTTATTGAAAGACAATGACCCAAGTTACCATTTTGCTAAATCAATATTTCACTAATGTGTAGGGCTTGGACTATAAATTTCTGCTTCATCAATGTTGTTTCTATACTTGTGAGAATAATGTGGGAATATTATTTTTAATTAATTAATATTATATTGCAATCTTAAACAGGAAAATATGATAGCTCAAATTGGGTTACATATGAATTATTAAAATTTCCATAAGACACATACTTAAGACATATTAAATTCATAACTTGAATGATAGCATTATTTTCTATTATAAACATTTACATTTAAAATTAAAAATATTTAGTGTTATTTTTCTTTAAACATTTTAAAGCTTAAACTAAAAATGTAATTAGTTGCGGTAAACTTAGGCAATTAATAAATCCTAGTTTCCTTTTGAGATATAATGATACATTAATTAATTAATTGATGATCAATTAATTAGTCAAATATTTAAAAATCTTTGTCAAATGAAAATTCATTAAAATGATGTCCTAAACCAAAAATAATTAACACATTAATAGGTAACCAATAAATGTTTTTAAGTTGTATATAGCTTGTATTTAAAACTCTAGTTTAACTTATTTCAATTTCAGTCATGTATTTCCGTGACTGTCAGTGCTATATTTCTAGCTAGTAATAACTGGAATTTTGTAAAAGACAGACATATATTCAAAGAGTATCTCCCAAGAGATCTGAACATTTTTCTTTCATGTAGAATAATCGGTGACATCACCTCATTTGTTCACCTTTTAGCCATTTCTGACTTTGGAAATGCTGAAAAAATTTAACCTATTTACAAAGTGTTTTCAGTTTTCTAGTCACACTAAAGTGAATTTTATAAAAGTTTATTTTGAAATGTCTTCACTCTAGGAAGATGATTGCAGCAGATAAAGTATAGAAAAGGGATACAATGCAAAAGGGACTATCTTTATGGGAAGAGCAGACATCTGAAATAAGACTGATGCACTGCCGTGTGTGCATCATGAATAATTTCATATCGTTCTTAAAAATGTGTGAGTTGTACAGCTTCGGTAGAAATTTCTTGACCAGATTCAGCTTATAAAAGAATTTCATAAATATTTGAATATTTTATTACAAGAAAGTAAAATACAGTGGGACACTATGGAAAGCAGAGTTCTCCAACATTTCCAATTCATTAGTAAGTTGGAACTCAAAGAAAAAGGAAGAATATTCAATTTTTTGGATATAACAAAATGTACTTGTTTTGGTTTTGTTTTTCATGACCTTCGTGAAATCATTTGGCACCTAGAAAAAGACTTATCATTTGTGAAACACCTGTATTGAACAATAACCAAAGTTTTTATAGTGACATGAGTGAAAATATTTGGGACATAAAGTTCCTTTTAGTCATGTACAATGAATTTCGTAGCACACTGAAATAATACCAGCGAGAGAGGAGTATCATAACCCAATGGTGGGAATATATGTGTAGAGTCTTACAGCAGGGTATATTGTCATTTTGAAAGGCATATGGTATTGCCCTAATAAAACATCTTTTTATATCTGATTACAGAGTAAAATGGGGTTAATTACCTGTCCTGTAGAACACAGCAAATGAGGGTGGTGAAAGCCAAATGCAAGGAAAACACAGCCATCCAAGGACAGAGTAATGAACACTTGTCGGGCATTCCCTTCCTAAACAGGCACTTTCTTAGTGTTAAAAAGTAATGTATGGCACTTACACAGCTAATGCGGCTCACATGAGTTCACCTTGGAAAACTGTTTATGCACCCTGAACCACATTAGGATCAGGATTTAACAATTTATAGCTTTCATTCCAATGCACAGTTTCTCAGTGAGATAATATTCTATTCTTTGGGGAAGAATAATTTTAAAAGGTTAAGGAGATGGTGGCAGAACTATTAATTTTGAAAGTTCCTTAAGTTAGGACTTCTAGCCATGCTAAAAGAATGTCACTGAGTTTAAACTGTGATATTTTGGCTACACAATTTAAATCATTTTTAGAAACAAGGTGTTTGTGTTTACAACACTCCATCAAAACACAGAAATAAAGGCAAAATATATTAATAATTATTCTATTATCATTTCTAACACATTCTGTATAAAAATGCCAAAAATGTGATATGGAAAATGTGCATGATCTAAGAAATTATTTAAGTGAGATAAATATGTATGTTTCATTGCAGATAAGGTACAATTAAAGCAAGTTAATAGATGTATTTAATAACTCATGTAAAGTGAAACGTATCATATAGTAACAGCTTTTAGCAACTGGTGTGCTACCATTCTCCTTGAAAAACCAGAAGTTAAGACTTGGAAATTTAGCTCAGTGGCAAAGAGCCTGCCTGAATAGTGTGAGGTCAGGAGTTTGAATTGTGGTATTAAAAAAAAAAAAAGTCAATACTCATAAATTGAACTAATATGTTTAAAAGTAGATTATTCTTCCATAAAAATAGCACAATTAATTGAAGCAAAGAAAAAGCGACAATTAAATAAGAACAAGGAGCTAACGTATTTGTTTAACAAGAACCAATGCGCCTTTGAATGCAATTTTGATCTTTTATTTAAATGTATTAACGGGGAATCAAATGCGTAAATGAGGATGCTTAGGGGATGGAAATAGAAAGCAATGCTTGTGTTAATGTCTTTATCATCCAAAACCAACTTTGGGAATACTTATTATACAAGATAAACACTACAAAATGTCTCTAATGTTCAAATTTCTCATATTTCTTACCTATCAGCTTAATTGTGGAATATTCCATTCTGTAGTGGCTAAAGTTTTGAAAACTAAAAGATGTAGGCAATGCCTGAGACTTTCATTTGTAGGAATCATAAAAAAGAGACCAATTAATTGAAATGGAACAAACAACACAGGATACAAAATTACTTCTTCTTTGTCAGAATTAATCTATCTTATCTTCCATCAGGATCTAGTTGAGGAAGAACTGTCTCAGGGGTCTGGTTTTTCTAAATCTCAAATAATTAAATATCACTCCAGTTCCAGGAAAGTATTGGCATCTCCCCATCACCGACACATTCAAATGTGTTGTTATTTCATCTTTTTTTTATATATAAAATCAACAGTACTGGTATTTTAGCCAAGCCCTCTCTACAGTCTTTTCAAGGCAGAAAGCAACAGAAAGAAGATTAAGGTACAAATTTGATTTATCCTTTAGGGAATTTTGTCTAACAATAAAATACAATTATTTGATTCAGCAATCTTTTATCAGAATTTAATCATCTAATGCATATCTTTGGAGTGACACCACATGGTAGTCATGTTACCGATACGCACACTTTACTGAAAACAAACAGCCCTGAGATGTCCTGGTCAGAATCTACCTTCATTCTAATACTGAGAAGCAGAAAGCACAAAAATACACTGCAACTATTAGGTCATACACTGGAAAGTGACATGAGGTAAATGTAGTAAAGAGAGAAAGTTAATAAACAGAATAATCAGGGTATAGCAGAAATTTTGCATGACTAAATACGAAATACATTGGCCAGAATATCATATAGATACCTTGAATGAAGGTGTCCTTCATTCAAGGATTGACCTTAATTCAAGATGCCGGTGTGTGTGTGTGTGTGTGTGTGTGTGTGTGTGTGTGTGTGTGTATAGCTAAAGGTACTTCACTGAGGAGAAGGGATAGTTTTGAGCAGTGGAGTATTATAGATAATTTACACATTTAAAGGATTACTGTGTGTTCAGTGCTTGGAATGAACTATAGGGAAACAAAAGTGACAGTAAGGAGAATTAATAGAAACTCCGGCTGGAAGAAAGATGGATGAAAATAGCCCAGACCATGATGAGGTTGCACAAATAGTGGGATTATCCCAATCATGAATATATTCTAGAAATATGTATTTCTTGATAAAAGAATGGGTATCACATAAAAGATGAAAGAGATATCAAGTACAGATGTTAAGTGTTTGGTTATTTTCAAAAGAAGAAGAAGAAGAAGAAGAAGAAGAAGAAGAAGAAGAAGAAGAAGAAGAAGAAGAAGAAGAAGAAGAAGAAGCTGTTCTACCATCTGAAATGAGGAAGGGTCCAGTACAGAAAATTTGAAGGGAACGATCAAAATTCAATTTTGGCCTGATTATGTTACAATTCTTTTGGAATTGTCCCGCATTAATACAGATTTAAAAATGAAATCTTTTACCAACTTTAGATTGACTTTGTGTACTTCAGGGAAATCACCACAAGTGACATTTCTAGCAGTGAAGATAGATGAAATCATCAAGTGTAGGTGAGAAGAGAAGGACAGAGGCTGGGGGATTGTAATGCTTCATTTTAAAAAAAAAAAAATCAGAAACGATAATGCAAACATGATCACGTGCTGACAACAAAGGGAATAAGACAATCTCCCCGTCTTTGCTGTGACATGTTCCAGAAAGTTCACAAATCCACATGCATTGGTAGAGCTTTGCAAACACTCAAGATTGGGTATATGTTTATAAAAGATGGAAAAGTCCTTAAAATTCACATTTAACTAAAGTAGAGAGGTAAGCACAGATAGTAAATGTGGAGTTATGAAGATACCAGAGGATAAAGTTTGAAGGGGGACCTCATTTTGAATAAAATTGCTTCATGATATATTTTCTCAAGACTAAGAGGTTACCTTGATCCTAGGTATCAAAGGAAAACCCTAAGGAACATTCATCCACCAATAAATGAGGAAGGTTGAGATTAAAGCGTTTTAATATTTCAAAGAGCCAGAAATGGAGGGAGAGAATGGGAAAGGGCTAAAAAATAATTAAGATGTGTTATGAACACATAT